ATCATTGAATCACTCTGGAAAGAAAACCTATCAAATACTAAAAAATCACTGTCAAAATGTCTCTTCTTCAGGCCAAAACCACAAAGAAGATTGTGCTGAGGCTTGAATGTGTTGACCCTAACTGCAGGTCCAAGAGGATGCTGGCCATTAAGAGATGCAAGCATTTTGAACTGGGAGGCGATAAGAAGAGAAAGGGCCAAGTGATTCAGTTCTAAACATTTTTGGTTTAATTTGAAATTATGTTGGTGCAATAGAAAACAGTACCTACAGGAAAATAAAATAGTTGATGCTTCTTCACTTAAAAAAAAAAATGTCTCTTCTTCAAAGTAACTTCTTGTTATTTTTTTCTCTTGGTAGGTAATGGTACAACCACCTTACAGGAAGCCAAAGTGCATTTTATTTCTCGAAGTGTTTGTAATTCTGAGACGAGTTATGGGGGGATAATTCCTAATACTTCGTTTTGTGCAGGTGATGAAGATGGAGTTTTTGATACTTGCAGGGTAAGACCAAATACATTTCCTCAAGATTATAAAGCCAGAAGGAATCTTGAGCAGGGCCTTTAATTCCCCAATGATAAACTCTAATTGGATCTAAAAATGCTAAATTATTTTTTCTTCTCCAAATCCAAATCTTACTTTTTTTTTTGATCCTTTGATTTCTATAGTCAGTATCAACCTTAGGCAAAATTTTCCTTAAATTCATACATCTCTTTCTCTTGACTATTTTACTGTATTTTAAGTGACAGTTTACCAATTAAAGTGTCATTCAACAATCCATGCACAAATTGTTCTACAACGGTGGCTGTATTTCCTGACAGTGTCAGCATTATCACCAGTTCCATTGCAGCTTGCCTCATTTCCATCCCATTTCCCTGCTTGACCTTTGTTTTTTTTGTGTAAATGTTGACTAGTTAATCTTGTTAGTAGATTGTTTAAAGGAGCAAGGTCCTCAGAGGTGTTAACTGTTTATTTTCTAGGCCAGTTATTATTTAGCTGAAATGTGGCCTCCAGGAAAGGCTTCAGTTCTAGGTTAAAAAAGTATCTCTGCTGTAGGCCTAACTTGGCTACTGATATCAATGCCATGCAGGAGAGAATTCCCACCACAGAATGTTGATGTATCTGCTGATGAGTTGACTGATCCTAAACCTGCTACTCCCTTTGTGCATTTGGATGCTGCAATGGTGCTTTCTCTGAGCTGGCCATCTATCCAGCTGTGGATCCAACTCTTGCTCCATGGACCCCATGTTGGCAACAAACATTATTATATTGCCTCTTGGGTGTAAAAAAAAATAGGAATCCCTCCAGGAAATCATTTCTATCTTCAATTTGAAAGAATTTTCTGAGGAAGACAAGTTGAGATTGTGTCCTGTGTATGCAAAATATAGCATTTCTTGTCTCCGTCATTCTAGGTTGGTTGAGGTCGTCACACAGGTCATGGTATGCTGGTGCCCTTGAAGGAGACTATCTCTCGGAAAAAGCCTTTTATATAGTAGGACACATTGAAGAAGCTGTGGTAAAAACTGATAAGCTGGCTGGAGAACATTCATGAGGGGGTCCTTTGGGCAAATTGTCCACCATGCTCTTAATCTTCTGGCCTCCAGTCCAAAAGCTGCAGTTTTCTGTGTAGATAGGAGGCGAACCATGTTTGAAGATGTTGTGTTCTGTCTTATGAGTATTTAATGTTTTCAGTAAAGTGTACATCCCTTAAAAAAAAGGATCTTAAAAGTTCCTTTAATTTCTATCAGTCCCATAAGCTTAAGTTTTCTTTAAAAAATGTTTTGAGTTTTGTTCTACATTTTCTCCTTTTTTGAAATAATTTTTTTATTAATTTTAATGAAAATTTACAGAGACTTTGGATTTCCATTCATTCATTGCTGCATTTTTCTCCCTGCCAACCCTTCCCCCTCCTACTCTTCTCTTTGAAAAGAAAAAGAAAAGTTCCCCCATTGCTTTACTATCACTCCCCCCCCAAGTCCACTCCACTATGCAGTCTTCATTCTGGACTCCTGTCATGACAATAATACCTAATCATAAATCCCTTTTGAAACCGTTTTCTCCCTCATCTGTTTCAATGCAGTATACATTATTTATCCCATCTTTCTCAGTCTCGCTTCAACCCTGACGTCATCCAGTTTTACAACAGTGGCACCATGCAGTATTTGTCCCTTTGTGACTAAGATATTTCACTCAGCATAATGTCCTCCAGGGTCACCCATTTTGAAAATATTGCATGAGTTCCTTGTTTTTCAATGCAGCGTAGTATTCCAT